TGATGAATAAGTTTTTTGTTGTTTTGTTTAACTATCTATATGCCTGTATAACTTGTTCGCTGTTTATTGCTTTGGCAACATTGTGCTGTTCCACAGTCATGCCAATAAAGCTCATTTGAATTTGAGAGAGGGAGAGTTTGAAGGACTCAAATGAAGACATTAAACCTCAGAATTTATAAAACAGTAAAGCAGTTAAGACTAAAAGAAAGCCGTAGGCTAAACATTCCCATGAGGTGGATTTTATTTGTTTGAAGTTGTGCGCTACAGGACTGTGTAACATGTTCTGTTTCTTTGAAGCACATTTGAAAGAAGAGATCAGCACAGAAGCTCAGATCAGCTCATGTTCCTCCGACAGACTGATGAGCTCGAACTCACTGCTGATCTACGATCAGTTTCACGAATGCAAAACCAAACTGAAACGAGTAAAGCTGATTCTAATTCAGCTGATGCGGAAAATTATTTATGAAATGAAAAAATTGCCCCGCCTTTCTGAAACGCGTCGATTTTTACAAAGCTGTGCTGTGATTGGCCAGCTATCCAGTGCGTTGTGATTGGCAACAACATGACGGCAACAACAACAATACTACAGCGAGAATAAAAGTTACGCCTTCTTTCTTTGCGTGAACATTTGGGCGGCGTTATGCAAATCTTCCCACACAGTGATGTAGACATGTGGTCCGTGTTTAAACGAGGCGTTTTAGGAGGACATGGACGAGCCTTAACTTTTATAAAGAATATCTCTTTGGGTTTGAGACTTTAGTCTTTGCAACTTTAGGGATCTTATCTATTCACAAACAGCTTGTAACACTCCAAAGAGAAAGGAAAACGTGAAATCTGATCATATGACCCCTTTAAAAATGGTGTACTATGAATATTGACGAACAGCTTGTAACACTCCAAAGAGAAAGGAAAACGTGAAATCTGATCATATGACCCCTTTAAAAATGGTGTACTATGAATATTACTGACTCTTTTGCTTGTGATTTTCCTCGTGTAAATCTGCTAATGAATTTTAAAAAAAGTCTCCCACAGAGCTGGACCTTCTGCATACCCATAAGGACATGTAATAGATATGACATATATTGCTTGCTCTATATTAAGTGATATTTCCATATATGTTACCTATAAGGTGGTGTATAATTTTCACATAAGCACATTCTCTGGGTAACGATCGCTCACTTGTTTATCATTTTCTTTTGTTATAACACGTCTTGTCTTGATTCGGATTTGACTGACATTTTCTCAGCGTGAGCTTCATGCTTTCTAACCGTATCTCCACTTTTATGCTGCAATTATTCTGCTTATATTCATAATTGCCAAAGTCTGTTTACATTATCTACCATTGTAACGTTTATATCTGCCAATATACAGTACAGTGTGTGCATTTATATATATATATATATATATATGTATAGTTCAAAAACATTTGGAAGAAAATCTTCATATTCAGAATTAACGATGTCCAATTCATGAAGTCAGAAGTCTGATCTGAATCATTCAGATTGATGTGGTTCGTCAGCGGTTCAGTCTGTTCCCAGAGAGCACAGGTACGTCTGCAAGAGGTCTGGTAAAGATCTCTTCATCTGGAGAGCATCTGCTGTGTACAAACATCTGATAGACGACTGTACGATGTCAGTTTTACATTCATTCTAAATCATAGGCATCTTCTAAACATCTATTTGACATCTGTTAGGAAACGTCCTATAGACGTATAGCAGATGAGCAAATATTCTAAAAAAATACCTCTAGAAGATGTAAAATAGACATCAAATAGAGTCTCCGTGATCGACGTGTGCTATCAGGGTTCTTCTACTATAAGACACAAGTCACATGGGCGATTGTTATGGAACTACAATTTGCTCCAGTTTCCCACTTCCATTTTTGTATTTGCATTGAAAGTGCAACCAGCAGATTCTTGAAGACTTTTAAGAGCCCATCGAGTCTCATCCAAGCGGCACCTCGCGCTCTCTCTCGTGAAGCCAACACGGAAGTGACTAAAGCTGTAATTCATCGACTGGCCGCTAGAGGCGGGCTCTAATAGTGAGTCAGTCCCATAGACTCCTCATGTTAAAATGCCCAACTTTACAGCAGAAAAAAACGTTTACAGCCTGGTTCAAAAAGTGGTTTTGGACTATATAGCTAATTTTGCCCTTCATGACAACTGTGAGAGGGGTGCATTTTTTTATAACTCATCCATTTAAATTATATTAAGCCTTAAAGTTATGCATAATTAAGGGCGTGGCCACTTGAGTGACAGGTGGATTGCCACCGGCATCGAGTTAGGTGGGCGTGGTTTCAGCAACCTGCTCCCGCCTCTTTGCCCATTTTCGATTATCCGGGCGTGACGCGCGGTGATGTGCTGCCAAGATGGCGACGGCTGGCTCCTCCTACTTTGGGCTTCAACAACACTCTTCGGAAACCTACGGGTGACGTCACGGACACTACATCCATGTTTTTATAGTCTGTGGTCTCATCACAATTTTTTTAATCAACCACTCTGAGTACATCAGTCACATACATCACTAACACAAAGTCTTTATTTTTCAAGTTGATAAGGTTACATCACCCAAATGTCACCCATGGAATTGTATTCTCTTAATAATAGAAATAAAATCATGACACTTTAAATTAACTCGACAGTTTTAATAAAAGTGAGGCACAGTCGATCAGAAAATCACAGCTTCCACTGTGTGAAGACTAAATAATCATATGCAGACATGTATATAACTAGCATTCTAATTATCTACGCAAGTCAATTAAAGGGTGAAAAAAAAGTTTTAGTTTGCAAAACTGAAAGATAATACTGTTGACACTCAGGAAGCTGCTGAGGTACGTTCACTCTCTGTCCGTCTCCTGATTGGTCAGCTGCAGCAGACAGAACGCCGCCACAGCCAACAGGATGCCACAGATGGGCATCAGGAGGCGGAGCTTATATCTGTGCCACACCCCCTCCTCTGTCTCCACCTCTGTGACTTTCCTGTTCTTCTTCCTCCGTCCTTTCTGTCGTTTCTCAAATGCCTCCAGCTCAGCCTGAAACACACACACACACACACCTCAGAGGCTACATCAGCGAGAAGCTCTCATAACCGCAACGGACGTCATAGATCCTGATATCCACTAAACCACCCATAACCATCCTCACACTAACCTGCTGATGTGAGGAGATGTAAAGCTAAACATCAACTGATTAAAGAGCCTCTGAAACAGTGAGCGGCTCTTCAGACCACCAGTAATTTTTCAGATCTCAATGATATTCATGCGTTTCTCGACTCACCTGCTGTTTTCTCATTTCTTCCTCCAGAGCGGCTCTTTCCTCTGCTGCACAAGCCTGAAACACACACACAAAACTAACTGTCCAGTAACTGTTTCTCCAAGTTTCCCACTGAGCTGATGGCTCTCTTTGTGTGTGTGTGTGTGTGTGTGTGTAAAATGGAATCTGTCCATTAACTCTCAGCTGGGTTGGAAAAGTGTCTGTGTGTGGTTTTAAAGTTTCACACTCTCTCTGTCTGAGCCAAAAGAATCAATGACCCAGCAGTGGATTTTATGGCCCTTCTCCATGACAACAGTTCCTGTGTCGCTCTACACTGTGTGTGAGTTACTTTAGGGACAGCATTGTGAACTAAATCTGACAAAAAGTTTGTGTTCGTGTAGTATGTGCACAAGTGTATGTGTGTGTGTTACCTCTGCATGTTTCTTCTGTAACTGTCGACACGTCTCATCACACACGACCAAGTCCATCTCTGACCTCACACGAGAACAGGGGAATTCCTAGACACACACAAACACGTTTACACAGTTAAAGCCATGTGACCACGTCCTTATCATCTGAGCACAAACATTAAATCTCTGCTGTAAAGCGGAGCGTGAAGATGAAACGCTGCAGAACAGCCAAACGCAATCACAGACACAGACTCTGTCATGATCCCGGTTACATCTACTGTGTGTTGTGACGTGTCTGCTCCAGTGATGCCCCGATCAGGATTTTTGCAGCCGATACAGACTACTGATTTCTTTTCATCATGATTGGCCGATACCGATCATTTTAGCTTTATATAAGTGATACATAAGCTCTCCATTGACTGCTAACCTTTTTATTTATTTATTTATTTTTTTAGATAAAATACCTTGCTTTATATTATTTGCAATATATTGTTTTAATTGAGAATCAAATAAATAAGCACAACAAATATTAATTTTACAATTAACATTTTAATAGGCCTTTAAAAACGGAGCTAACACAAAACAATGTCAAACTGAACATAACTGCAACCCATAAGGTGACAGGCTGTCAGTGCAGTTACACTGTTCAGCCAGTAGGTGACGGCAACGGACTTTCTTTATGACTCAGGTCATTCAACAAATACACTTAAAAACGCTGATTCATTCATGAATCAAACAATGTGTCCAAATTGATTAATTTACAAGGCTTAATTGACGATCAACGCATCACCTTGTTAATGCTGAAGCTTCATAGAGATCATTGGCACTGATTAGGGTGAAGAGGGAGCGACCAGCCGGCAGAGGGTTCTGCTTGGTCATAAACCTTCCTCAAACAGCTGCATCCGCAAATAAAAGAATGATTTGTCCAAAAAGAATGATTCATTATCAATTGAGAATTTGTTATTCGTATGGTCTGGTGGTCATACAACGTATGCCTGCGAATACAGGACAAACTGCGTTCCGTATGGCTTTCATAAGTAACGCTTCTTAGATGGCCTTAAATGTGGGACGATTCCATATTATACAGAACGGCTGGCAACCCTAGCTCTGATTCAACGCACTGAACAGCACTGATGCAGTCATGGGAAATCCCCTTAAACACTGAAAGGATACTGCGACAAAGATATTGTGTTCATCTTCTGACAACTGATGGAAAACAGATGCTTTTTACACAAATATATGACTTGACCTGAAGGACAGTTCCGCTGTCACTGTTTGTCTGTGTGTGTGTGTGTGTGTGTGTGTTGCCGCCTAAGTCCCGTCTCCGCCTCACACCCAGAGAGCAGACAAGATGCCAGAGGCAGCGAATCAGACTCGTAGTATTGAATCCTTTAGCCAATGTTCCTCCACATTGTATTTCTTTTTTTATTGTTTCTTCAGACCTCATATTTCCTCACAGGTGATCGTATTCATATCTGCTGGTGCTAAAGTTTGACGCCATCACATGTTTTATGTCATCGGTTCGTGAGATCGGCCAAATTTAGGGACTTCTGATTAGGGTTGGGTATCGTTTGTTTGTTTTCCAATACCGGTGCCAAATCAATACTTTTAAAACGGTTCAGGTGCCTAAACCGATACTTATTAAAAAAAATAAATAAATAAAATTTACCCCCAAAAATGATGGATTAGCCATTAGCACTATAAACACATGATGTCTGTTTCATTCACACTGTACGCCAGAGGGCGCCCTCGCACATAAATCCACACATCCAGTCACAGAAGTAACAGAACTCATGACCCTCCAGGAAATCCCTTTTATGCACAAAGGCATCGCTATTATAGCTGTAGCTGAGTAAACAGAACATAGAAACGTTTTGAATGATAAAACAAAGACAATAAACACTCGACTGCGACAATATAGTTTATCTGTGTTATTTAAGCCATCTCTGGTATTTTCATAATAATTAAGTATATTTATAATAGGGTGACCATATTTTAGTTTTCAAAAAAAAGGACAGTAGGGGGCGGGGTTCGGGGGCGGGGCTTCGCCTAACAGTACACGTAGCAAGTTTTTTTTTTGTTTGTTTGCTTATTTTGTTTTTATAATAAATAAAAAGAAAACAAGAATAGAAAAAGAATAGAGAATGCTAATGTTTGAGGCTCTTTTTTCTTTATAAATAAAACGGGTAGTTAGAACAGAAAGTGCAAATGTTAGCGGGTCAAGTTTTTTAATTAAAAAAAACAAGCAGATAACATAAGTAGCAGCATTAGAATAGAGAGTGCTAGAGTTAGAGGGTCAAATGAAGATGAAAGAGATGTGTTTTCAGCCGTTTCTTGAAGATGATTAAGGACTCAGCTGCTTGGATTGAGCTGGTCACCAGGAGGGAACAGTTCATGTAGAAGTCCATGAAAGTTTATCATAGGTAGAATGCAAAATGTTTCAATACAATCATTTCAGTCAAATGTAATGTATGCAATTTTTCAAACCTTTAACCCACTTGGGAAAATCAACTCATGGCAACAGTTTAAAAGTAGCCCAATTCTGTGGAAACACGGACTTGGCAACCCTGCATCCAACAAGAGCTGCAGGAGTCAG